ATAATTTTGACAATCCCCCATGTTATTATATAACCTGGTATACTATAATATACTCTGATAGACTATAACATACTATAATGAATTATGATATATTCTGACTATACAACCTTATGATATACTATAGTATACCATAATATATTGCAGTGCTTGGTTGAAGTTTGCAGCAACCTAGGCAGTGGCTTGTTCTTCTTGTTTGGCGTCTCCGCAAAGCACTTCAGGGAGCTGGTTTCCTCAGCTCGCGCAATAGTGTGCTGTACTACCATAATATAGAATACTAGAATAAGTATATTATAATGAGTGTAGTAAAGTATAACTAGTATAGCATATGCTAATATAATATACTATACTATGGTATAATAGGGTATATTATACTATAATATGAAGTATTATCCATACACCTCCCAAAGGTCTAGACTTACTGGGGGTTAGTAGGGACTGAGGAAATGCAATCCCTACATAAACCCCTATCTACCCTGTACCGTACACCCTATATAATCTCTGAACCCTCAGCCCTAAACCCTATATATATATATATATACGTAAATATATAGTCCCTTCTTCCCTACTAACCCCATGCAAATATCCAGAAGCCATGGTTCCACCACCGTCTCACAAAACTCTACGACGGGATCCGCCACCTTGATCTCCAAGTCGCCATAAAGCCTGCTCACATGATGTCATACTATCATATACTATGGTATATTTCAATATACTCAAATATGTACTACTCAAAGTTCTATCTCATATATATATATGTACATATAAACAGGATATTATACATAATATACTCTAGTATATTAAACTATACTATAGTATATTATGATATGATATAATGCGCTGAAGGGCCTCGCATTCAAGAGCCAGGCCTTCGAAGATCATGTAGGATGCAGTCGAGGTAGACTTCACCAGTTCCGAGCAATACGTGCCTGCAAAAGATTCCCCCGGTTCCATGAGGGTTTAGGGTTTGGGGCTGAGGGTTTAGGGTTTCAGGTTTAGGGTTAACGGTTTAGAGGTTAGGGTTTAGGGCTTTTTGGTTTAATGGGGCCATTTCTCCACTATCCGAAGCTTAGGGTTTAGGGCGTAGGGTTTGGGGTTTAGGGTTTAGGGCAGGAAAGCTTGCCATGCAGCGTGCAAATGCTGCCAGGCTGCTCGCCACTCTCTTCCACCTGAGATGGGCTCTATAATATACTATACTATAATGCAATATATTATACTACATAGTACAATATACTATGACATTAAATAGTATAATATGGTATAGTATACTATACTGTATCATGATATATTCTAATCATAATATATTCATATTCGTAGATCATCGTATATTATGTGTCATGTTATAACTCCGTCAGCTTACCAGTGCTTCCGGGAGAGTGACTACAAATACATGAAGTAGGGGTACATGCGGGGATTCTACGGGGCATCCCTGTAACCACTCCCCCTCGAGCACCAGTGTAAAAATCCTGCCCCAAACCCTAGAACCTAAACCCTGAACTCTAAACCTTAAAACCCTAAACCCTAAACCCTGAACCCTAAACCCTCAACCCCAAACCAAAAACTCTGTTCTGGGTCTCATGCCTTTGTCCTTGACAGTGGATATGCCTTGTCGATCTTCCTGGCCGAAGTTGAAAGGTACAGTCCACAAAGCAAAAGGCAATTGTGTGTAGGGTTGAGGGTTTAGGGTTTAGGGCTTAGGATCTCAAGTGTTTCCAAAAATCATGAATCCCTCCACTTTAAAATATGTCGGGTATCTGCGGTTGACCCCTCTTTGTTCGTGAAATACCATTTAGACTGCAGTTTCGAGACGTAACAGGGCTTTGTTTACAGCTACAGCACTTGGTACTGGAATCTAACGCACGCTTGTCACAGGTGGCATAGAGCCTCAGAGAGGCAAGCCACATCTCATGCAGAAGGCAGAGAGAGTGACAATACCCCTGAGCAAAGCAAATTGCCTGAACGAGAGCCCAATGAATGAATGCTCTCAATGTCCGAAAAACCATATAGAAATCCTACCTCATACGGGCTATAGTCTAAACTCCTAGTATCCAACTTAATAACCTCTCTAGCAGTCCCCTATATAATCCCCTACATAACCCCCTTTAAGGAATTTTGAATATAGCTCATATGAGAAGTTGTCCAAGCTGTGATTCGTCTCTCGGTCCGCATCATAAGACGGCGCTTAGTCTTTATCACATAACGCTGAGCGGGGACCATAACTTTGATAACCTGCCAACTTCTACATTCTAAGCCTTTTAACTCGGTTTTGAACCACTATATGATAACAACAGTTTCTGCTTGATTTTACAGCTGGTTTTCTGTGGAGTTTTCCACTCCCCAACCACAACTGCATCCCTAACTTGCTTGATCTTTGCCCTCCCACGCACTGAAAGTTTTAGCTTCTATCTTCCTTTAAATGACATGGAGGAACCTCCAAGGCTATGAAGTGCTAAAGTTATAGGGTTTAGAGTTTAAAGCTTGCTAGTGTATCCCTAGGTTAGATCTCCGCTGTCCCCAATACATTCCTACACCCTAAACCCTCAACCCTAAACCCTAGACATTGGGTACTGCCCCCCCTCAGTAACGGTTGGATAATGTTTATACTATAGTTATATATAGCCCTTAATATGACCCCTAGTATAGACTGTTACTGGGTGGGGGCAGTACCCAACCTAAACCCTAAAACCCTTAACCCTAATCCCTAAACCCCTAAACCCTAAACCCCTAAACCCCTAAACCCTAAACCCTCAACCCTAAACATACTATCATACCTCTCAAGCAAGGTCCTCAAGCCATCCACCATCTTCGGCAACTCGGCAGGCTGAAGCGGTTCAATGGCGACCTTGATCACCTCACGAAGAATCTAGCTGCTATGATTACCCAATGTTTTAGAGGGTTATTTTGGGATAATGGAATGGAAACTACTATGATATAGCTGCTATAATTACCCAATATTATATAGGGTTATATAGGGATAACGGAATGGAAGCTACTATGATATAGCTGCTATACTTACCTAATGTTTTGTAGGGTCATAATTCTATAGGGTTATATAGGGATAATGGAAAAGAAAATTGGAAACTACTATGATATAATAGGGTATATATTGGGGTTCTTTAGGGGTTATGCCATTATGGGGAAATCTTATGGAACAAGGGTTGCAAAGGATTACAGGGGAGTAGGGTTGTGGCTTAGGGCGTAGGGAAATATTAGTTGAGCAAGGATTGTAGGCGTCATATTGCTGACTATGGATAGTAAGAGGATTACGTAGGTTTTACCCTTCCCAAAGCAACAAACGAACACCGAAGCCCCCGGGGATCATCTCATCTTCCATCCTTGTTTGGAGAGGGTGGCGTTGGAAGTCTCCAAGTGCTGGGGCCCTGAAGAAGCCACAAATCTATGGCGATCATACAGACAGTTACAAGGTCCTCCTGTTTTTGTAGTGGTACATAGGACCGGTGACTTAATGCAATGGGACTGTTGCCAGGATTGCTGAGAAGCTTTTGAAGACCATAGGTTCCGCTCTGCCTCGCTCCTATACCCCACAGCAACAGGATGTAGTCCCCCTGACGTAGATAGAATATGGGGTATGATATTGAGATCTTATTATAATATACCCAAGGCCATGTTCTATCTACTTAAGGGGGACTATACTAGGATGTTCAGCAGCATGGGGGCCCCTGTCTTATCCTCTGTGCATGACGACTCGACAGCAACTGGCAGAACCAAACATGATAGAGCTCCTAGCAGAACGTATGAGCTATAGTTTAAACTCCTAGTATCCCCCTTAGTAACCCCCATAGCAGCCCCCTAAACAATCCCCTATATGACCCCCTTTAAGGAATTTAGACTATGGCTCATATCAGGATCCCCTGTGTAATGTCAATATCTAGCCCCGTGCTATCCGCACTATAGGAATTCACAAAGAGTTCCATCTGCTCGGGACCAAGGTCCGAGCTGGCGTTGTAGGGAAGCGCAAAGGCCGGAAGATCTCAACCTGCAATGCCGCTCCTAGTCTCAGTCAGCTGGGCATGTCTCAACATAGGGCACTGTACATATTGCGACCGCTGCAAGAGGTACTTGAAAGGAAGCTTGCTCAGTTTTCTTAATGGCACTGCAATTCCTGCAAACGAAACGCCTGCACGGGACTATGGCTTTCAGCTCAGGCATATCCCACCATTGCCGTATCAAACTGTCTGCCTCTTCTTCGTTGGACGCTGTTGTGATGGTGGCTGTTTTCTTGATGCACGTCTCAATGCCACCAATCAGAACCTGACATATGCCAGAGGCAGGAAAACCCCATGGTGCGCCCCACAAGATGCCCGAAACCCGAGGTCTCCCTGATCCTATATAACATTGGGATTATATTGGGATAATGGAAAAGAAAATGGAAACTACCATATTATATGTGATTATATTAGGGTTGTATTGTGGTTTTATTTCACCCGGTTTCCATTCCATGTTCCTTTTTCTTGTCCATATGAATCTCCATTACATCTCTAATTTATAACCCCAACATACACCCTAAACCCAAAACCACGATGTGCAGTAGTTTCCGTGTTTTTTCCAGTATCCATTTTTTTATAGATCCGCTGCTCAAGCCAAGCTGCCCAGTTTCCAGCTGGCACGTGGCTAACTTCCACGCGGTACCGTCCCTGCAGGAGACGTGACTTCGGACTTTCAAAGACAACGGTATACTACCAATAATGATAAGTATCATAGCAATGAGTACTATAGCAATAACAGTAGTAATAGAGATAATAGAAAGAATAAATACAACTACTTGCTCTGCCTCCAGAATCCAGAGGTTCTGAATCTCCTTGATCGCCATGTCTTCATCGTCATCCAGGGAATACGTCTCTCCTGAGCTCATCATTGCCGTGACCAGTTGGTTGTTTCGCAACATTGATGGTACCTTTTCGAGGCTCCCTACAAAAAGGACTACAGCATTAAGGAGTCTATATCAGGGTCCCCCTGTTTCAGGAAACTACCAGTTTCATCGGATCTCTCGGGCAAGGGATGCGCCTGAATTTCAACCGGCTGGATATCTCTGAATGCTTGCTGGCTTCCCAAGATCTTCACGCGATCGCCGCGGAAGACAGTGCCGGACAGAACGCGGCCGAACACATCAAAGGCGTTGCAATCTGGTCTGTGGTACTGCTTCACCTGAGCTTCAGCAGATAGCGACAATAATCTGAAGCGTATCTACAGGCATTCAGCTGCCGAGCCACCACGTGGAGCATCAAATAGCCTGTCCAAAAAGCAGCAGGAAAAACCCACCACCTCTATCAGCTATCAGCTTTCGTCCAATCCCCCAGACAGACTGCCTGTGGTGTCCAGCTTCTTCATGTCCTCAGCCACTGCTCCATCCTGATCTCCCGAGTAGAGTTTCTCCACCTGTCCACAGATGAGCTGTAGTCTAAACTCCTAGTATCCCCTAAATAACCCTGAGAAATCCCTATATATATATATACATATGTACATATATACATACATATATACATACATATCTACATATATATAGTCCCCTATATTACCCCGTTCAAGGAATTTAGACTGTAGCTCAACTGACTTCAACCCTTCAAGGTAGATCCTGCATTATGGGCTTCCTTGAGCAACTTTCGGGCCCCAAAGCATCTAGTGAAAAAGATCCCAAGTACTGGCGCAGGGAAGCAAGGAGGCAGGGACAGAGGGAAGGGAAGAGGGAAGAAAGGTACCCTAAACCCTGAGCCCTAAACCCTAAACCCTAAACCCTTAGGGGTTTCAGGCTTAGGGTTGGAAGCTGCAGCCTGCCTTGAATGGTGCACTCTCCTGCGGACGTCGAGTCTTTGAAGGGTCTTTGCTCAGCAACTACCACTTGGGTGGGACTTTAGGGGTTATATGTAGGGATTATAAGGTATATATTGGGATAATGGAAAAGAAAATGGAAACTACCATAATATTGGGGTTATATAGGGGTTATACATATGGGTGGTTGTCAAAATTATGGTCCTTTTTGGGTACCCTGAAGACTAGGTGCCGTATTATAATAGGGATCCAAAAATTTGGAAGGCTACTAGTGTAACCTAGGGATCCAAATAGCCCAAGGTGCTACCCTAATAATGGAGAATCAAATGGAAAAGCAAATGGATAATGAAATGGAAACTTTGGAGTTGGGTATGGTGAACTACGAATCTTCAAAAAAGCATCGAACAGCATCATGCTGGCCATGACACTTGCTAAACTAGATGGCAGCGGTAGTCGCATGATGCCGCTGCTGATTGTGACGATGCTCATGATGAAAGACCGACTGTCCAGAACAGGTGCCTGCCTAAGGGTATGCACACATCAAGTTCATGAAGCTTCTAGGGCCTATGACGCTTCTGGAACCACAACAACTGATGACGGTTCCGGGAGCGATCACCCCATGCTTGCATAACACATCACCAAAGCACTGCCTATACCAGCAATTGCTTGGTTCCACCCATTTTGGGCAAGTGGCATGCAGAGCTCATGTGCTTACATGTCCACTCTTCAAGTTGCCACTTAAATAGTCCCCTGACTATCCATGAGGCAGGCTGAACCCACCACGCATGGGCTGGTCGTAAACATCTCGAACCCAAGCCCTGAACCTGCCGAGCGTGCTTCGCATCACAGATATAGGATTATATAGGGTTATATAGGTGTATATGGGGATTACATAGGAGTATATAGGGACTATATAGGGATTATGTACATAAACATTCGTAAAACCTGTAAATGGGCTGAGGCAGCTAACGCAACTTATTGGATGCCTAATTGTTGCCCCTCTCCTTGGGGTTGGGGATGTGTCTCACCACCTCAGATGCGAGCTTTGGAGTCACTCATGACCTTAATGCAACCAATTAAGCCAAGATGCCATGTCGATGAAGGACGGCAGACCTACACGAAAGAAGTCATGCATCTACACCAAAATGGCCGAGGAACTTCCCAAAGCAGAACACTGCAAACTCCCCGCGCCTCCACCAGAGCCGAAATACTGCTGGAAGACTTTGCGGATCAAATCGCGAGCATGCAGCTCATAGTCTCTCTTGTGCAAATAGATTCCGACCTTCCGCAACAAGCAAGTGTCCAAGTGTCGAAATGCATCAGGGCCCCGTACCCTCCCCAAATACTTGAAACCATTACCCAAACACCCACACACACATCATCATCATCATCATCATCATCATCATCATCATCAGACAGCCTCAAACCCCTAAACCCTAAACCCTAAACCTTGTGCCCACCTCAGCAAGAGTCTGCGCAAGGTCTTCCTTCTCTTCGCCAAGACAGTGGGCAAAGATCTTGTAGATGGGCTCCAGGACAAACCTGGCTTTAGGGTTTAGGGTTTGGGTTCCAAAGCTACTTGGAGGGTCAGCGGGACTCAGCAAGTAGGTTAATGACCTCTATAACCTATATAGTAACCCTAGTAATGCCTCTTATTCACTGACTTACTAAGTCCCCCTGACCTCCCAAGTATCTCACCCAAAAACACACGACTGTGAACGGGCATTCCTTGCAGCTTTTTTGCCCCTGCTCTGTATGTTGACTCTGTATGTTGACTTGAGATTGTGTCACTTGTCTTACCCATCCCTATCATCATACCCGAGCAATGATGTTTTGCATGTTATGGGCTGGAGGCTGCTCAGCCGAAACCGGATCTTTGACAGCTCGCCTGCACCCAAAACCCTAAACCTCTAAATCTCTAAACCCCTAAACCCTACACCTCTAAATCGACAGGCAGCTGCACGAAAGATCGTGGCTGCTCCGCGTCCGGAGGCGCCTTCTGGAACTTTCGCTCCTCTGCCTCGGCTTATGCATCCAAGAACCAAGGGTTTAGGGTTTAGGGTTTAGGGTTTAGGGGCGGATATTTAGGTGTTTCTCAAAAAGGGTGGTCCCTAAGGACCCCAAAAGGTATAGAGGGATTCTAAGGGGATTATATAGGGCCCCCTTAAGGGATTATATAGAGGTTATATTGAGAAATACCCATTTAGGTGTTTTTTGTTTGTCGGACCTTTTCTTTAGGGTTTAGGCTTAGGCTTTAGGGCTTTAGTGTTTAGGGTTAGGGTTTTGGGTTTAGGGAATACTAGGGTTACTATTTGGGCTATACAGGAATAATGGAAAAGAAACTGGAAGCTACTATAGTATCTAGGGTTGAGGGCTCTTGGACCACTAAGTCCCCCTGACCCTCCAAGAAGAAAAAGGGGGCATGGAGGGAGTTCCAACCTTCCTCATTCCGCCGTCGGCGTTGTGCAAGAGGGGTTGCTGACGTTCAGGCTTTCGGTTCAGGCTGCAGTGCATACAAGCCAAGGTGCATTGAAGTACATGTCTCCCCAAAGGCATTTGGCAAGAGTCAGGTGGTCAAAACTGAAGCCTTGGCTGGTGTTGAAGTAGCTCGGATTACTATTTGGGTTATATAGGAATAATGGAAAAGAAAAAATAGGAACTACTATAGCATTTAGCATTTTGGTTTTAGGGCTTAAGAAGGACAAACTGTTGTCGACTTCCGGCAAACTTGTGAATCTGCTTCGAAGAGGCCATGGGTCTCTGCGTAGACTGCAGCGTAGGACTCCAAGGTGAAGGTCATGCCTGGCGTGAACTCCCTCTTGCTCACAACCGTAGTGTTTTTTGGTGGTTGAACCTGGTAAGATTATATTCCGTATATAAGATTCATTATTCCACAAGGAGGATAGAATCTTACTGACTCTAAATTGGGTACCATAGTATCCCCAAATACAATACTACCCACCAGGGCTTCCAATTACCAGCCAAGGCACGGAACAGAGCAGACGCAAAGATCACCTTGCGGCCACTTTTGGTTACGGTCTGCTTGGCTGAATTGTCTAAACTCCTAACTACTACTATTACTACTACTATTACTTTTACTATTACTTTTACTATTACTTTTACTATTACTATTACTATTACTATTACTATTACTATTACTATTCCTACTACTACTATTACTATTACTATTACTATTACTACTACTACTACTACTACTACTATGGTAATTCCTGAATAACCTCTATAACACGTTGGCTCATATGTTTGAAGCACATTCAACTCTGCGGCCCGAGCGTTGCCCTTCAGAGGTGAAAAGTAGACTCGGTCGTCGACTTCCATGCCCGTCTCAGGTCGCCCACGCAGGGTATCAAAAGGCACAAGGAGAGGAGAAGAGGAACAGAAAAAAGCTGAGACCGAAACAGAATCATACAATTTCTCCATGGTCTCGTTGATGTCTTCAATGCAGTACCGAAGCCTTGTAGGATGCAACCAGGGTGGAAAGTTTCGTCAAGGCCAACCTCCCCTGTCACATCAATGTAACCCTTATAATACTGGCCTGCAGAATCACCTGTATAGCCCCATTTCAGGAGTTTAGACTCTAGCTCATATCAAGACGCTTGTGATATGCATCCGTCGGAGGCAACTTGAGCTCCATGATAAGACGATCAAGGCCGTTGATGACCAGCACGACCTGAGCAAAGCAACACGAAGCAAACGTCTTGCTCGGGCCCCCTCAACTCTTGCTGGCAAACTTGTGCAATCAAGCTTCTTTGAGATTGTCTTGCAAGGCATGCTTGAGCATGCGCTCTATATGCCTCAGTCCAACCAGCGCAAACTCGCAACATCATCTTCTCTACTTCCAGTGCAGAAGAGTAGTGTTTTTTTGGTGGTTGAACCTAGTAAGATTATATTCCTTATATAAAATACTATACCCTAAAAGGAGGATGGAATCTTACTCTATATTGGGTACCATAGTATCCCCCAATAAAATACGATATCCCCAAGATAATCCCTGAAAAACCCGAGCTTCCATTTCATTTTCCATTTTCTTTTCCATTTGATTCTCCATTATAGGGCCCTAAACCCTATATTATTGGGTACCATAGTATCCCCAAGTAAAATACAATTTAACCCTATAATCCCTATAGTTTCCATTTTCTCAGAAGAGGAGCTGGGTGAGGCCGACGACCACGTCGACTACCAGCACGACGCCGTCAGACATAGCCAGACCAGCAATCACTTCGTCCTCATACATGGGGGTTATATATAGGGATTATAAGGTATATATTGGGATAATGGAAAGAAAATGGAAACTACCATAATATTGGGGTTATATAGGGGTTATACATATGGGTGGTTGTCAAAATTATGGTCCCTTTTTGGGTACCCTAAATATTAGGTGCCGTATTATGATAGGGATCCAAACAGGGACCATAATTTTGACGACAACCCACATGGCTTTGCATTTCCACGCTTGCCCTGCAGCCATGATCAAACACACGAGTCCTGGAAGTTGGCATGGCCCGGCATGTCCTGCGGGGACGGGAGGCAAGCTGAAACAATGAGAAGGATTACATTTCAGAAGCCGGGGTGCCATGACGTGGAAGAGGTAGGACTTGTCCTGCAAAGATACGAAACACGCTTGGGCAGCTTGGGAAGACAGAAGGCTGAAGTGCACAGAAACCTGGCTGTCCTTGGAATCCTGGAGCACAAGGCTCATGGACGAGGCCTTTACGGTAATGCCGCGATCCTGCTCGTCCTGCCTGGAGTCTGTGTAGCCTCAGACTGACCATGACTGAACTCAAAAGCAGCAAGACGAGCCCTTGCGGACGTGTATGAAAACAGCTGGGTAGCGGATTTCCTTGCCCATCTTCCAATCCTTCTCATGCGTGTTAAGCACCAGCATGTCCATGAAGGTGGTCTTCCCATGATGCATTGCACCAAGGAAGCAGATGTTGCCTCAGACAATCAGCATGGAATGCGCTAGGCGAAGGAGCTGTTCAAACAGTTCTTAATATAATGACCTAGAATACAATATGACATGATATGATATAGTATAATATACTATTAATCTGTGCATAGCTCTGTGCTTTCAGCCCCGGAACGGACCAAGTTAGGCTTGTCCATCATGGCCGCAAGAAAGTTGAAGTCGAAGGTCGTGTCCGGCATCTTCTTCTCAAGAAGATCCTAACAGGAGCCATGTAAATCAGCAAGCTCGCGCTTCTCCTATGCTTGTTATTTCTATTACGATTTTTAATAACATTTAAATCATTGTTACGACCATAACTAGTACTATTCCTATTACTATTGTTATGGGTCCATGGGGAACTGTCCTTTTCTGAGAGCGGGTTCACTGAAAAGGCCGAGTTTCAAAGTTCTTGGACTGGACCGGAGTGATGATTGGATCGGTCAGGGGCTGCGTGTCTTCCATCTGAACCAAAGCCTCTGCATCACCATAGAGCTCTTCGGCATCTGGGTAGTACCTTGGTTTCGCTATCAGAAGCCACCAAAATCGTAAGCTGGTACGAAGCGCCGGCACGCTACACACCAAAGTAACGGCAGAAAGCACTCTAAAGCATGTTCAGCTCTGTATGCCGAGGAGGTGCTTCTTGTCCTCGTGCAGAATGATCTGCCTCCCAAAATCAAGATGCTGGTGCTGCAACATATACCAGTATATCATGTAAGGATGTGTTAGGCATTACCTCTGAAAGCGACCCAATGATGGAGCAGCTTCGTGATTGTAGTTGGATGTTCTCAGCTCACCCCCTCGCCTATCACCACTCGCTTCCACACCCTCCATGGGCACATCGCCTTGGATGAGATAAGTTCGTCTTAAGCTTCCACTGGCGCATATGAGCTATAGTTTAAACTCCTAGTATCCTCCTCAATAAACCCTATAGCAGTCGCTTATCTAAGCCGCTATATAACCCCGCTTAAGGAGTTGACATTATAGCCCCAGTGCTGTCTTCAGGCCCAGGTACCTGCTCCAGTGCCGTCATCATCGCCCTTCCCTTTTTCATCCTCGTCCAGACCTCCTAGCAGGTCGTCATCTTCTTCGTCATCGTCATCATCAATGTCGGGGCCTGGAGAGGAAAAAAAAAAGGCGTCGTTGCGAAAGCGTCCCACGAGCCCTGGCAGCCCAAATGAGCTTAAGCTTAACTCCTAATATCCCCCTTACTAACCCCTATAACACTCCGCCTATATAATCCCCTATATAACCCCCGTTAAGCAATCAGCCACTACTACACCATGCCTTGATAGTTTCCAAACTCATCGTACAGACTGTCCTGACAGGCAAAAGTTCCGCCAAGCACAGGAGATTTGTCATCCAAGCGCCTCCATGATGGAGCCGAGGCGAATCCCAGCTGCACGAAACCCCTTCCCCTCTGAGCCACTACTGCAACGTAGCAACGCTTCCTTGCTGGAAGTCAGGTGCTGTTTCTCAGAATACAACTGCAGCCCCCCCCCCAATTGTCTGGGTTGCTCTTAAGTAACTTAATGTGACTGCAGCGTACCGGAGCAACATGCACGTCAGCTTGAAGACAGCAGCGCCGCAGATTTTTTCATCATGATGCAAGCTTTAGTCTAAACTCCTGGTATCCCGCTTGACAAGTCCTACAGTACTCCCCTGTATTATCCCCTGTATATAACCCCCTTTTAAGGAGTTTAGACTATGGCTCGTAACTGGGAAAGCTACGGAGAAGGCGGGTAAGGGCTCACAGGATTGCCTGCCAGCTTGGCCTCGATCGTCGTCCTCAAGAACCAAAATGTTACTCAACAACTATGCCTTGGGCACTAAGGGCTGTCTATATATATACATATGTATATATATACATATATATTTATAATAAAGGGCAATATTAAAGGCTATCTATCTATCTATATATATATATAACAACCTATAATCGGGGCCATATTAAAGGCTATACATATTTATATATATATACCTAGGATCTAAGTATTAACCAACCGTTGCTGGGTGGGGGCAATACCCCAACCATGCCATTTGCTTCAGTCAACCAGGTCGCAAGTGCCCAATCTAATCTCCAAGTGTCCCCCTCAATGACCCCTAGAATAATCCCCTATATAATCCCCTAGTACAATCCCCTATATAATCCCCTAGAGTAATCCCCTGGTTGCCAGGTCGCATTCGGGAGCGTATGAAACCTTCCAGCCTCAGCACCACTTCCAAAGGGGCAACCAGCATAATTCCACAATCGACAGGGTTTAGGGGTTAGAGTGTTACATATGTGTACAAGGGTCCTTAACTCCTTACACTTCAACTTTCCTTTCTCTGGTATTTGGTAGACAAGAACAACTATGTCCAACCACCCAAGAAAATCCCTATATCACTACCATTTATACCGCTAGTATACCCACATTCACTTCTCCACTCCCTCTAAACGCTGAACCCTTTTGTTTCCACCTTCCCTTGTATTCCTACACCTTAAACCTTCAATAACTGGGTTCTTGTTGAAATACCATTGAAAAGGATCTTTTTTAATTGATATTGGGCCCAGGTACCACTAAAATTCAAAATTTTAAATTTTGTTCTACAAGAGCCCAGATAAGGGTTAATGCCCTAAACCCAGAGCCAAGCTCAGAGCCCCTGGTGACTGCGGACCAGATCAGCCTGCAGGCACAGGGTTGGGCGACACGCGGGTTTAGGGGTTTCGGGCTCAGGGTTGATGGTGGGCTTAGGCTTTTAGAGTCTTAGTTTAGGGTTTAGGGTTTTTTTACAACCCCGGGGACTCTTTTCGGGTCTGGCTTACAAACCTTAGGGTTTAGGGCTTAGGATTTTGGGTTAGGCTCTTAGAGTTTTAGGGTTTAGGGTTTGGGGGTTTAGGGTTTTAGAGTTTTAGGGTTTAGGGTTAAGCGGTTTAGGGCTTAGGGCTTAGGGGGTTGTACCTGGGATTCTATAGGATGCATCGGGTCGACACGAAGAGGATTTGGTTTACGTCCTGTTGGAGAATCAAGCGGAAGAGAACATGAAAATGACATGTAAAATGTGATGATATTGTCAGGACTTGGACTTTAGGTTCAGCTCGGCATATTAAAAGAAAACTCATCTTACCAATAGTAGCCCTAACACCACTGGATATTACCTGGTCAGGACTTGAAGGTTTGCTTGCCAGGGTGCCAAGAAGAAGTTCAGCTGAAAAGAACCGAAAGGTTAGCTGCCCCCCAAGACCCCAAGGTATCAAAATAGCCGAAATACACGCGAGTGCTCATCCACCCCTAAAAGAGTGACCCAGTCACCATCACATGACTTTTAAACGGTCCCTGTCATAAGGGTTGGGTAGATGCCTAGAGCCCCGAGCCCTCAACGCTCAGCCCTAAAGCCTAACCCCCAAACGCTAAACCCAAATCCCTAATCCCTAAACATTCAACCCCAAAACTGTAGACCCCAAACCCCAAAACCCTAAACCCTCAACCCTAAACCCCAAAACCCTAAACCCCATACCCTAAATCCTGAACAAGAATCCTAGAACAGAATGGGAGCCCAGGTTTCCTCCTTTAGGGTTTAAGGTCAAGGGATTAAGGTTCAGGGTCTAGGGTTTAGGGGTTAGGGATCAGGGTTAAGGGTTTAGGGTTAGGGTTCAGGGTCCTGGGGCCATGCGAATCTACCTGACAGAACCCTCTCCTTCTGGTCCTTTCCACGGGTTAAGGGGGTCATAGGGATTACTCAGGGATCCTTGAAAGGCGCTAGAGGGGTTATAGGGGTCGTATACTGTTTAGGGGCCCTAAACCCCAAACCCGAAACCCGAAACCCAAAGCCCTAAACCCTAGGAGGGCCTTCTCGTCCTGTAGCTCCTGGATCCTCTGCCGCATAGCCATATTGGCCTGCTGCACCTGGCAGAAATGTTCAGCAAATTTGGGTTTAGGGTTCAGGTCCCTATAAAAAGGATTATAGTATTGTAGCGTATGTGTCAATTTTGGGGTCCCTCATTTTGGCAAATGTGAGGCTGAAGGTTTAGGCTTAGGGCTGCGCGCTACAGGTCATTTTATGTAATAATTTTGAGAACGACTTCAGCGCTTTCCTGAAACTCGCGCCTCTTTCAGGAGACTCTCGCTAGAAGGCTGGGCAGCCATGCAATGTCCTGAACTGCTCGCACTCGCGATGTTTCTGAAAATGGGCAGCCCCTTGTGACTTTAGAGACAAATGGAGATTACATTTGAGTATGGGGGTTCCCATTAAACAGTCAAGGATGAGAATAGGGTATTGCTATTAGGGTTCGGCCTGTTCGCCTACCAAGCAACACTGTCCTTGCCATGATAATCCCGCAGGAGCGGGACTCATCATTTTGATCCCCTTAACCCTGTATGAGAAGAATTCAAGAACTCCTTGAGGAGATTCAGGCTTTAAAGTACTCAACTCCCGACCCTAAACCCTAAACACCAAACCCCAGACTCTAAACCCTAAACCCCTAACCCCCAAACACTAAACTCTTAAACCCAAACCCTAAACCCTTAAAACCCCAAACCCTAAACCCTTAAACCCCAAACCCTAAACCCCTAAACCCCAAACCCTAAACCCTTAAGGTTTAGGGTTTTCCGGTCCTGGCTCCTTGTGAACCTCCGCCTGCCCGGCCAGAGCACAGGTGCCAGGCTTGCTATCCTCCACAAGGCGGAGCCTAGCGGTTTAGGGTTTAGGGCTTAGGGATTAGGGTTTAGGTTTTTTTTAACGGACCTTTTTCCAACTTGCTGTGCAGTCGGAAAGCCAGCTGGCCAGGCCGGCTTACAATTCCAGGAAAAGTTCAGCAGAGCCCGTACAACATCACGACAGCAGAGCCAGCAGAGGCACTCACTTACGGAATCCCTCAGCCACCCTCATTTGCCGGAGTCCTTAGGCATATCCTCTTTCAGGACTTCCTGACCCCTTTACCAGTACTCCCTACAAAAGCAGCAGGCCCTTCCCACACCCTGTACACGGTGTCAAGGAACCCCTCAAGGGCTTAGGGTTTAGGGTTTAGGGTTCCGGGTTTAGGGATGAAGGTTTAGGGTTGAGGGTTCAGGGTTTAGGGGGATTAGGGTTTAGGTTAGGGAGCCTAGCACGTCTGTTTGCAGGTTGTCAACCCAGAGTACCCCCCCCCCTCCCCACTGTTCTGGGTTGCAGTTAACAATCTTGATTCAAGTTACCATGATATGGGTATATCATGTATATAGTAAATCCTTATTATTGTAGTAATTAGACTAATCTAAGTTAAGTTCCCTAACAGCAACCAAGTGTTGCATTTCTGGGTGGCAAGGCATGAGATTCTGCGATCGACGCCAGTCCGCCTGAGGGCGGAAAGACAGCAGCCATCAAATCCAGGCTTCTACTGACTTGTACTTATAGCTGCAGCTGCCTGCTGCCTTGAAAGGATCTGGTTCTCCTTTTCCAGCGCAGCGGCCTCACGCACACATGACGCCTTGAAGAGTCATACCTTGTAGACACAAAACAATACGCTTTGGCTCGCTCCTGGGCATGTAAATCATCGATCTCAGCCACAGCCTCACCTGCCATCAGCTCACGGCAATGCATGGAGTGAGCCCCATGGAGTGACAGGTCCCAAGGGCACCTGCTTCCTGGAGCTGCCGCCTCACCTTACAAGCTCTTTCCATGCGGATGGTGCGGAAAAATGTGCCTACAAGCATAGCGAAAGAGCGATGGAGCTTTGGACCCTTTGAAAACTAGTGATGCGATGGCGATCAAAAGTGAGTACCAGCTCAGAGGACAGGACCATGCTTGAGAGCTCACCACATCAGGCCTGCCTACCTTGCATCTCCACAGTACGACATAAAACATCAGATGCCAACAGTGCTACTCAAAGTGCATGCGCCTTCCCTCACAGAAGGGATGTGACACTCCAAAACAAGTCTATGCAAGCGACTCTCCTTTTGGAACGGGGCTTCACACGCTTCCACAACGGTGTCCAAGCCCATGGCAGCTTGGAATTGTTCGCTCCGCCGCCAAGTTGCCTCCTCGATGCGTGTTTTTCTCCGCACCCATCGGGTTCGGTGACAGAAAAGATTTAAAAGTCTTCTTGAAGGAGAGATGAGACTGTATCAACTCCCATACTCTCCCATGTGTTCCAGCCCCCTAGAATACCCTGCACTGGCTCAGTTGCCGTTTGTCCTCCAGCACGTGTAGCTGCTTCGTGAGCCTGAGTGCAACGCACAGCATCAATGACACCAAAGGAGCGAAAGGCATCTTGGTAAGATAGGGGCTCTTCCGTGTCTCGATGCACCTGCATGCCATCACCATCCATAAACTTCATACGGCCAGGGCTTTTAGTTTAGGACGCTCGCCTGCAACGCTGCAGAATCATCACCCAGTTCATCAGCAACCTGCCCCTTCCTGGGTCTGAGTTCGCAACTAGGAGGCTCCAATTGAGTTGTCTTCCTTGTAGGCCGCGGCTCGCGCTCAAGGGCTGCGAGAAGGTCATCCAAGCGCTGTGTCTGCCTCTAAAGATGTCGTCTCCATCCATCGCAAAACTCTGCTCAGCTGGGATCCCTACAAGGCCGAATGGTCCGAAGGCAGCGTGCTGCGGAGCGCGCGCTCCACCTGAGCGTCTTCTTTGACGCCCGGTGGAAGCACGTCGCATGCATGCAGGGGGGCCTCTTTGGCAGGCTCTTCAGGAACCACGGCTGCTGTGCCTTGGTATGCAAACCTCACCCAAGTCAAGGAGCTAACCACACAATGAGGCTTGGGAGCCGGCACTCCGCCTTGAGAGATAACATCTCCGCTCGCTGCGACTCCATCTCCTGGCATCCCAAAGGCCTGAAAGCATCACACCATGAGACTGCACACTACTCGCGTCCTCAAAGGCCCTCTGCTCGCTGACCCGCTCCGTCCTTGTCAAAACTACAGCTCGCTTTCCCGGCGCAAGAGAAATGCAGAAGACCTCCCGCATAGGATGAGATGGCAAGACGAAACCTTTTCCTTAATCAGTCGCGGGCTTGCAGAGTCATATCTGACCATGACGGCGGTGAAGGCCCGCAGCAGCCTTTGGGACCAAGCGCAGCTTTTCCACTGCAAAGAAGGCGCAAATCATGAAGGCAGGGTCCATCCCCGGTAGTAGCTCGATGATGCGACGGGGCCCCTCTCCATAGACTACAGCAGCTGCATGGCCCATGCTATCATAAACCGTCAGACGCTGCTCTTGAAGCGAACCCTGCAGGCGAAACTGTGTTTGCCCAGAGTCCGCATCTTGTAGCGAGTATCTCTCGCTCAAACTCACCATCTGATCTGGGAGGAGCATGCTAGCACCAGATAAAACTTCATCCTTCGAGACCTTGGCGAAGAGGCAGTCATTCGCGGAATGGATCTCTGGAGGCCGCGTGTGGCTCTCAGCAAGGTGAAGGCGGTCGGTCCGGACAAGACCAAGGAGCTGTCCATCAGGCTTCTCCAAAGCCATACCATTGTCCTCCAACTCATCCAGCCTCATCTTAAGAAGAACCTCCTCCTGTTCAAGGATGAGCCAAGTGTGCGTCTGACGCTCACCCCTTAAAGGCACCGTGAAATCGCAAGTCATGTGTCTGGGTCTGGGTTCTGCAAGAGAGGGGCACAGTGCGGGGTAGTGAGGATTACGCAGGGAATGAGGGGGTGACAGCACACAACCCTGCTTTTGAGAGGGACTCGGCATTGGCAGGGTCTCTGCTGTCCGCTGCCTCCTCGTAGGGAACGACACAGTGCTTCTTGCGTTTGAGGCAGCCCCCTCACTCCTCTGCTTCTCCGCCATGTAAGCAGCAGCAGAAATGCCAAGGCCACCCAAAATCAAGGACAGCAGGATGAATACCAACAAATTGCTTGCAAAGGATGCAAGACCATGGTCGCTCAAAGCAGCATACCAAACGCGCACCCTGCCGGCCACAGAGGTTTGCAGCAAAGTCGCATTGAACCACGTGGGTTCATTTCCGGGCAACTGGCTCAATGTGCGCTGGATAAGTGAACTGGCCTGCACTGGGCAAGCCAGAAGCTCTTCACATGAGGCGCCATGCAGCGCAACACATGCGAGCAAGGCTGCTAGCCCATGAGACATGACTTGGAGGGTCAGGGGGACTTAGTAACTAGGGTAATAAGGGGGATAACTGGGGTTCCTCTATGGGTTAGAGGGGTTATCAGCCTACTTACTGAGTCCCCCTAGCCCTCCAAGGAGAGCATGGGCAACAGTAGAACAGGGAAAATCAGGTACACTCTACGGACTCGAGGCTTCCGCCCAGCATGCCCTGGTCTTGGCTCGAGCATAGGCTGCCCAAGAAATCAAAAGAATGTACATTATTTTTCTAGTATATATTATCGTATATTATGGTATACTATCCTATACTATAATATATTATAACATATTATAATATATTATAATATATTACAGTATACCATACTATATTAAAGTATATTACTGTGTATAAAAATATAGTATAATATATTGTCATTGTTATTAACAAAAATACACTGCAGAAAAGTCCAACCCCAATAGCAGTCAGCCGCCTGGTTTGGCTGCTCAGCTGCTGTTCTTCAGCCTGCGATGGACTATAGGGTTCCATAGGGTTCTAAAGGGTTCCATAGGGTTCTAGAGGGTTCTATGGATCTATAGGGTTCTAAGGGTTCTATAGCATTCTATAGGGTTACTGAACATAGGGTTATATAAGGCCATATAGGCTTACATAGGGTTTACCTGGGGTTATATGGGGAGTCTATAGGGTTACATAGAGCTATATGGGGCTACATAGGGCTAGATAGGGTTGCATAAGGTTATATGGGGCTACATAAGGTTACATAAGGTTATATGGGGCTACATAGGGGATTGGAGAAGAAGGATTGGCATCGCTGAGGCTGGCACATGCAAGCGTTCCAAGAGGTCTGCGTCTGGTCTCGCGCCCTGTGCATAGACCCTATATTACTCTATATAACTCTATATAACCCTATATAACCCTATATAACCCTATATAACCCTATATAACCCTGTATAACCCTATATAACCTTATGTACCCCTATATAACATTACCCTATATAAGCCTATATAACTTTAAATAGCCCTAAATATTACTCCTCTATCGCATGCAAAGCCTTCCAAAAACTACACAAGCTGGCCACGGCCTTCTTCATGGCCTGAACCTCTAGTTCAGCTAACCGCGCACGCAACCTCACAAAGCACAACAAAATCAAGTCAAATGCCTAGAACAAATGACCAACCTGGATTGAAATGAGGGACGGGTGTTGTCTGCCATGTGGATTGTCTCGTTGGATTCCTGGCGCATCAGCCTGCGGATCTCAAGTTGTATGAAAGCAACTGCGCCACCTTTCATACGCTCTTGAACTCTATAACGTTTATAACTCAAACATCTCCTACATGTACACTTACCGTGTGTGCTACCATGATTGTTTTTGTCTATAGTATTATTATTGTTATTATTACTACTACTACTACTACTACTACTCCTGCTGCTGCTGCTGCTGCTATTAGTACTACTACTACTACTACTACTACTCCTGCTGCTGCTGCTGCTGCTGCTATTATTACTACTACTACTACTAC